CACTGGAGTATCTCAAAAGTTCCTCAGAATCCTAAATGTTACCCATGACACCTTCTTCTTCCTCAGCCTTCAACTCTTAACCATCATAGTCAAGTCATTACCAACTAGTAGATTACCAAATGCGTAGATTTTACCACCTAAATATTTCTTGAACCCATTTTCTTCCTCCTCTGTTGTCGGGGCCCTAATCTAATATGCCATCATCTTTTAAAAAAATTAATTAAGAAAAACTTTGAAATAATCGTAGATTCACATGTATTTTAAGAAACAGTAGAGATAGAGCCTGTGTACCCTTTACCCAGTTTATCCCATTGGTAACATCTTGCAAAACTCTAGTGCAATATCACAACCAGGATATTGACATTGAGATACAGAACGTTATCATCACCACGAGGATGCTTCTTGCTTTTCTTTTTTTTTAAATTAATTTTTTAGAGCAGTTTTAGGTTCCAGATTGAACAGAAAGTATAGAAATTTTCCCATATATCTCCTCCCCCTACACATGCACAGCCTCCACATGTAAAATTGGTATAACTGCATTGACATACTATAATCATCCAAAATTCATAGTTTACATTAGGGCTCACACTTGGTGTTGTGCATTCTATGGATTTAGACAAACGACACTTATCCACCATTATAGTATCATACAGAGTATTTTCACTGCACTGCCCTGTAAATTTTCTATACTCCACGTATTCATCTTTCCCTCCCCACGGTCTCTGACAACTACTGATATCTTTTTACTCTGTTCATAGTTTTGCCTTCTCCAGATTGTCATATAGTTGAGAATCATACAGTATGTAGCCTTTTCAGATTAGCTTCCTAGTAATATGCATTTAATGTTCCTCCGTGTCTTCTCATGGCTTGATAGCTCATTTCTTTTTAGTGCTGAAAAATATTCCGTTTTCTGGACGTATAACAGTGCGTTACCCATTCACCTACTGAAGGACATCTCCTTAAACGGTCACTTGGCCATCCCCTTAGTGTTTCCTTCTGACCATACTTTCTCATTTTTTACAGTATTGATGGGCTGAGAATTTTCCAAATCTTTCATTTCTGCTTCCTCTTTGCTTGTCTTTAACTTGCACTATATTTATATTTATTTATATTGTACAGTCAGGAGGAGCCAAGTCACACCTTCAATATTTTGCTTAGAAATAGCTTAAGTTAAATATCCAGTTTCGTCACTTGCAAGTTCTACCTTCTACAAAACGCTAGAACATGAACACAATTCAGCTAAGTTCTTTGCCACTTCATAACAAAGATCACCTTTCTTCCAGTTTCCAGTATCATGTTCTTCATTTCTGTGACCTCATCGATATGAATTTTACACCCAGCATTCTGTTCAGGATTACCTAGGTATTCTCTGAGAAGACTGAGGCTTTCTCTACAACTAACTCTCTTTTATTTCTGAGCTTTCAACAGAATTGCCCCTAAGAGTCCAGTCACGGCAATGCAGACTTTTTCTAGCACGCACCTCAAAACTCTTCCCGCTTCTACCCATTACCCAGTTTTAAAGCTGCTCCCCCATTTTTAGGTATTTGCTACAGCACTCCATTTCTCAGTACCAATTTCTTAGTCCATTTGGGATGCTATAACAGAATACCATAGACTGGGTGGCTAAAACAGCAGACATTTATTTCTTATTTCATTATTTCTTGACAGTTCTCAAGGCTAGGAAGTCCAAGATCAAGGTGCTGGCAGATTTGATGTCTTGTGAGGCCTCTACTCCCTGGTTTGGAGATGGCTGTGTTCTTGCTCCTAATACCATCTCACTGGGGGTTAGGATTTCAACATATGAATTTGCGGAGGATATAAACATTCAGTATATAGCAAAATATAGTACTTTAAAATTCTTATTTAAAATATATTTATTAAATGAACACTGTAGCAATAATAACAGGGAACAAATAATCATGTAAAGAACTCATAATCTTACCTTCATCCTAATAAATCTACTTGGTGAGCCTTAGTCTAATTATATCCTGGTGGCTGAGCTGCTATTCAGTGTTTACTTTCCAATGGTCATTAACTAATTACCTCTGCTTAAAATTTAAAAAAAAATTATATTGGTAAAAATATGTTTCATGTTATGGTTCAGGCTTAAGGAAGAAACAGGCACTTCTTTATTAATTAAAAGGAAATGAACACCCCCCAAAATGTAAACTCATTGAACATGTCACTGATCCAAAATTTTGAAAACCTTTCTTCATGTTATACTTGGCAACACACGTTGTTACTTCACATTACTTATCCACTCCCCAACTCACCTTTCCCCATAAAAAAGAAAGCCAACAAACAACCCGTGTAACTTCGTAATTATCAGTGGTTTGTTGAGAAATCTCTGCTCAAAATCCTTGTTCTCTGTCATAGCTCTGTTGTAGACCTCCTTTCTGCAGTTTAAGAAACACTAATGCATTAGGTATAACACTAATTTTACTTTTATATTCCCTTGCCCGGTGGATAAGGGAATACAAACATTTAAAATGGTTCATGTAATATCTCAGTAGCATTAATTTCCAAATCAAGCAAAAATGTAAATAGAATAAAACCGGATTATAGTGTTTTGCTTGAGATCCATTTTTGCCACAACTCTATTATACGGAAGCAATCATTTGAGTGATTTATTAACATTTTATAACCATTTATTAATTGCCTCCAATTCTTCAGATACCACATAGTGTATAGGAAGAATAAAAGAAAAAAAATACAGTCAACCAACTGAGTCTACCTGCACTGTACTACAGAACCTTCTGTGATGTTCTCTATCTGGACTGTCTCACATGGCAGCCACTAGCCACATATAGCTATTGAATGGTTGACATGTAGCTAGTATGTCAGTGTAACTGAACTGTTAACTTAATTTTTCTTAATAACAGCTTTATTGAGATATAATTCACATACCATACAATTCATCCATTGAAGCTGTACAATTCAGTGGTTGTTAGTGCATTCACAGAGTTGTGCAGCCATTACCACAGTGAATTTTAGAACATTTTCATTGCCTCAGTAAGAAAGCCGGTACTAGTGCAGTCACTTTCCAAATTTCCCCAACTTCCTCAGCCCTAGGCAGGCACTAATCTTTCTGTCTCCATTGATTTGCCCATTTTGGACATTTCGTATAAATGGAATCACAATTTGTAGTCTTTTGTGACTGGCTGATTTAATTTTAGTTTATTTAAATTTAATACTCACGTGTGGCTAGTGGCTACCATAAGAAGCAAGTGAAGTAAAAGACCAAATACAGATGCTTAAGTAATGCTGAAGGTTAGGAGAAGATAATCCTGTAAAAGGGGCATGTGGAAAACATGTCAGAGAGATTGGAGATGAACCCAGACAAAGCCTAGAGACAAGACACTTTCCTGAAGGAGGGTATGGTTAACAGTACCAAATAATACAGAGGGGTCAAGAAAGAATTATTTCAGCGTAGTGTTAGGATAAGAATCCTGATGACAAAGGGCATTGGAATGTGGTGGTTGGTGAAGAACTGGCACTTTAATATTATTTAGAGATAGAGGGAAGGGGGAAAGTTTCAAGATAGCTTGAGAGGGGTGTCAGGATTGATGCAAATTTTATTTTATTTAATTTATTTATTTAAAAATTTTATATATTTTATTTATTTATTTTTGGCTGCATTGGGTCTTTGTTGCTATGTGTGGGCTTTCTCTAGTTGCGGTGAGTGGGGGCTACTCTTCATTGCGGTGCATGGGCTTCTCATTGCAGTGGCTTCTCTTGTTGCATAGCATGGGCTCTAGGCTCGCGGGCTCAGTAGTTGTGACATGCAGGCTCTAGAGCACAGGCTCAGTAGTTGTGGCGCACGGGCTTGGTTGCTCCGCGGCATGTGGGATCTTCCTGGACCAGGGCTCGAACACGTGTCCCCTGCGTTGGCAGGTGGATTCTTAACCACCGCACCACCAGGGAAGCCCCAAATTTTATTTTATTTTTAATATTTTTAGTGTAAGCACGAGCTTACATGTAAGCAGAAGAAAAGGATCCAGTGGAAATGAAGACATAAAAGTTAATTGAGCAGGGTTCTGAAGGATGTGAGTAAAGGTAGAACTAAGGTCATTAGCCTAGGAGTAAGATGTGCCAAGGAAGATAGAAGTTATCTTTCTCAGAGGCAGGAGTAAGTGAAGAGAAAGTAGTTGAAGATACAGAGCAAGTTTTACATAGAGAGGAAACTAAAGCAACTCATTTACTTAAAGAAAGCAGGAATGAGGCCTTCTGAGGGTAAAATTTGTTTCCTCCGACCATCACTGTGATCAAATGTGGATCAGGGAGGGCTGCAAAGTACTCCATGGGGCTAAGGCTATGGGAGGTGGAGGCATCAGTTACTAATATGTCTCTGGCTTTTACCAAATGACCGTGTCTCCTAAAAGGAACAGGCATTCTCAGATACATAAGGCCACACAAGGTCCAGGTGTGTCATTTTTCACTTACTAGAAAGTGAAAATTACCCAAAAGTTTATATCTAAGATTTTCAAAGACAAAAATATAGCTCCATTACTCATCTTCCTTCCACCCCACTCTCCTTTCTTTACTCCTTCTCTCCTCCCTCCCTTATTTCCTTCCTTTTTTCCATGTATTCTTCGTATGCTTTGTAGAAAACAATGTACCGTCATTCTTTTTGCCCTATGAGAAAAACTGGAAACAAACAAAACACAGAGTTTGGGGAAAACCCAACATTAATTCATACTATAATGAATATAGAATTTGATGTTATGAAAATCCAGTATTTATTTTTCTAAGTCACACATTTTCCCCCCTGCTTCCAATGATATAACAGTTAGTGGAAGAGATAGGAAGTGCTTTGAAAACCTCAAATGACAACTATGCAAATATAAGAGAAAAATATACTAATTAGTTGATATTGATTTAACTAATAACATTACTTTAGAACAAGGATTCTATATAAAAGTTTGAAAAATTAAAGACAATTTTTGTGGTATTCTCAATATGTAAAATTATATATTTATGTATGTATGTATTTATTTTAGGCTTTTAAAACCAAGGATGGATATCTCGTAGTTGGAGCAGGAAATAACCAACAGTTTGCTACTGTGTGCAAGGTAATCTATAATATTTGGGATGGGTGGATAACATATGCAACAACTCATTTTGCACAAAGCCAGGAAAATTCAGTTTTGCCTAGAGCAATGTTGCTAAGTCTATACTCAAGACTCCCTGTGTTAGCACCTAAAAGTATGCTTTTTCTATGCTTACAAATCCTAAGGATAGGGTCTAAATTAGCACTCTGGTTTTGTAAAATTGATGTATCTGGCTGTAGTTTTAAATGAAGAATCATAGTAGCTTAAATTATGCTAAAAATTGAGCTGTCTACTCGTCCAAACAAAAAGGGAAAAGTCATTTTAAAGGGATTTTTAATGCCAGGATTTTTTTTCTGAGAAAAAGAAAGGAACAGAGGAACTAGAAAACAATCAGAATACAATTAACAAAATGGCAATAAGTACATACCTATCAATAATTACTATAAATGTAAATGGACTAAATTCACCATTTAAAAGACATGGAGTAGATGAATAGATAAAAACACAAGACCCATATGTGTGCTGCCTACAGGAGACTCACTTCAGATGTAAGGACACAGACAGACTGAAAATGAATGTATGTAAAAAGTATTTCATACAAATGGAAACCAAAACAAAGCTCTGGTAGCAATACTTATATCCAACAAAATAGACTTTTGTGATAAGAGACAAAGAAGGGCATTGCATACTGATAAAGGGGTCAGTCCAACAAGAGTATATAACATTTGTAAATATTTACTCACCCAGCATAGGAACACATAAATATAGAAAGCAAATATTAACAGAGCTAAAGGAAGAACTAGACATCAACACAATAATAGTATGGGACTTTACTACCCCACTTACATGAATGGATAGATCATCCAGATAGGTAATTAATAAGGAAACATTGGTCTTAAGTTAGACCAGATGGACTAAACAGATATATGAAAACAGTCCATCCAAAAGCAACAGAATACACATTCTTTCTCAAGTGCCCATGGAGCATACTCCAGGATAAATCATATGTCAGGCCACAAAACAAGTCTTAATAAATTTAAGAATATTGAAATCATATCAAGCATCCTTTCTGACCACAATGGTATGAAACTAGAAACGAATTACAAGAAAAAACTGGAAAATCACAAATGTGTGGAGATTAAACAACATGCAACTATAAAAATGACTGGATCAACGCAGAAATTAAAAGAAATTAAAAAAATACTTTGAGACAAAGGAAAATGGAAATACAACATACCGAAACTTATGGGTTGCAGTAAAAGCAGTTGTAAGAGGGCAGTTCATAGCGATAGATGGCTACCTCAAGAAACAAGAAAAATCTCATATAAACAACCTATACTTACACCTCAAGGAACTAGAGAAAGAAGAACAAACAAAGCCCAAAGTTAGCAGAAAGAAGGAAATAACAAAGATCAGAGGGGAAATAAATGAAATAGAGACTAAGAAGACAATAGAAAAGATCAGTGAAACTGAGAGCTGGTTCTTTGAAAGGTAAACAAAATTGACAAACCTTTAGCTAGGTTCAAAAAATAAATCAGAAATGAAAGAGGAGGTGTCATAATTGATACCACGGAAATACAAAGGATTGCAAGAGACTATTATGGACAATTATATGCCAACAAATTGGACTACCTAGAAGAAATGAATGAATTCCTAGAAATGTACAACCTTCCAAGACTGAATTATGAAGAAATAGAAAATCTGAAGAGACTGATTACTAGTAAGGAGATTGAATTAGTAATCAGAAACCTCCTAACAAACAAAAGTATAGGATCAGATTGGTAAATTCTGCCAAACATTCAAAGAAGAATTAGTGCCAGTTGTTCTCAAACTCTTCCAAAAATAGAAGAGGAGGGAACACTTCCTGATTTATATTACAAGGTCAGCATTACTGTGATACCAAACCCAGCAAGGACACCACAAGAAAAGAAAACTACAGGCCAATGTCCCTAATGAACACAGAGGTAAAAATTCTCAACAAAATATTAGCAAACTTAATTCAACAATACATTAAAAGGATCTTACACCATCATCAAGTGGGGTTTATTTCTGGGAGGCAAGGATGTTTCAACACACACAACTCAATCAATGTGATATATCATACTATTAGAATGAAAGAAAGGAATCATGATCATCTCAATAGGCATAGAAAAAGTATTTGACAAAATTCAACATTCATAATAAAAAACTCTTAGATTAAGTATAGAAGGAACATATTTCAGCATAATAAAGGCCATATATGACAGGCCTACAGCTAACATCATGTTCCGTGGTGAAAGGTTGAAAGCTTTTCCTCTAAGATCAGGAACAAGACAAGGATGCCCACTCTCACCAAAGTTATTCAACATAGAATTGGAAGTCCTAGCTAGAGCAATCAGGCAAGGAAAAGAAAGAAAATTTATCAGAATTGGGAAGGAAGAAGTAAAATTACTTCTACTTGCAGATTACATGACTTTATAGTTAGAAAATCCTAAAGATTCCACCAAAAATCTATTGGAACAGTAAATGAATTCAGCAAAGTTGCATGATATAAAAATCAATATACAAAAATCTGTTATGTTTCTGTACACTAATAACAAACTGTAAGAAATGGAAATTAAGAAAACAACCTCACAGTTGCACCAAAAAGAATAAAATACCTAGGGATAAATTTAGCCATGGAAGTGAGAGACCCATAGACTGAAAATTGTAAGACATTGATGAAAGAAATTAAAGAAGACACAAATAAATGAAAAGATATTATGAAAAGATATTCTGTCCTCATGGATTGGAAGAATTAATACTGTTAAAATGTCAGTACTATCAAAAGCCATCTATAGATTCCATGCAATCCCTATCAAAATTCCAGTGGCATGTTTTACAGAAATAGAACAATTATAAAATTTATATGGAACCACAAAAGACCCTAAATAGCCAAAGTAATCTTGAGAAAGAAGAACAAGGAAGAACAAGGAGAAGGCATCATGCGCCTGGATTTCAAACTATATTACAAAGCTATAGTAATCAAAACAGTATGGCATAGCATAAAAACAGATACACAGATCAATGGGACAGAATAGAGAGCCTAAACTAAATTCACTCATATGTGGTCAGTTAATTTATGACAAAGGAGCCAAGAGTATACAATGGGGAAAGGACAATCTCTTCCATAAATAGTGGTGGGAAATGGACAGTCATATGCAAATGAATTAAACTGGACCACTGTCTTACATCATATACAAAAATTAACTCAAAATAAAATAAAGTCTTCAATATAAGACCTGAAACCATAAAACCCTTAGACAAAAACATAGGTGGTAAGCTTCTTGACATCAGTCTTCGTGAAGATTTATTGGCAAAAGCAAAAATAAACAAGTGGGACTACATCAAAGTAAAAAGATTCTGCACAGCAAGGGAAATCATTGACAAAATGAAAAGGCAACCTACTGAATGGCAGAAAATATTTGTAAATCATATATCTGATTATAGGTTAATACCCAAAATAGGTAAAGAATTCATACAACTCAATAGCAAAAACCCACACAATCCAATTAAAAAATAGGCAGAAGTTCTGAATAGACAGCTTTCCAAAGAAGACATATAGATGGCTAACAGGTACATGAAAGATGCTCAGTGGGAGAGTGATAATAAATAAATAAACAAAACTCCAAAACGATCCATGGTAAGTGCCATGCAGAGAATTAAAATAGGCTACTGTGTTAAAATAGTGGCTGGGTTGTCAGGGGAAAGTCTCTCTGAAGAAATAACATTAAGATGAGATCTGAGTGACATTCATAAAGCAATAGTGATAAGTTTTTTCAATATAAATATTAGCATAAAATGTTTGCCATGCTAATATAAATATAATACTCAAAATTCACAAAAAAGCCTGGAAGTATTCCATAATGCTAATACAGACCATATTTGGGTGGTAGGATAGAAGTGGGTTTTTCTTTCTAAAGAAAGAATGGTAAAATACAAAAGAAAGTGGTAAAATACAAAAATATATTTAGGCTTTGTCCCCGATTTCTTACACAGAGTTCCTAAAACCCTCGAAATTTCCTGAATGATGGAAGTGTTTTTTGTTATTCACAACAAGCTCGTTTCAATCACACCTGAGTTTATGCTACTGAGGTGACTTAGGGTGGGGTCTCTAGATAGCCCCAGGATGGGTTGGTCACCAGGAAGACCAAGTGATTAGAGGGTTAGAAATTTTAGCCCCACTTACCAACCTCCAGTAAGGGGAGAGGGGACTGGAGATTGAGCTCTATGAAAACCTTTGAACTATAAGATTCAGAGAGCTTCTGGTGAAGACAGCAAGGTGATGGGAGGGTAGTGGAGCATGGAAGCTCTGCACCCTCCCACCTCATACCTTGCCCTGTGCATCTCTTCCATTTGGCTATTCCTGAGTTGTATCCTTTATAATAAACCAATAGTAGTAAGTTTAAAAAAAAAAAAAAACCACAGTGAGATCTCACCTCACACCTGTCCAGAATGGCTATTATGAAAAAGACAAGAAACAACAAATGTTGGTGAGGATGTGGAGAAAATGGGACCCTTGTGCACTGTGGGTGGGATTGTAAATTGATGTAGCCCCTGTGGAAAACAATATAGAGATTCCTCAAAAAGTTAAAAATAGAACTACCATACAATTCAGCAATTCCACTTAAAGGTATATATCTGAAGAAAATGAAAACACTTAACTTGAAAAGATATATGCACTCCTATGCTCACTGCAGCATTACGTATAATAGCCAAGATATGGAAGGAAAAAGATTTTTTTCTCTTCTTTCTTTTTCTTCTTCTTTTTCAAACCCCACAAGATATAATTAGGCCCAATTATAGTTATTCTACTACCAAATTTATTTACTTACCACTAGAAAATTAATTTTTTTCTTCAAATTAGTCTTTGTTTAATGAGTACCGTTCTGCAAAATTCATGTTTTAAGTTTTTAGCAATTGTCATGTTAAAAATACTGTTCCTGGGGACTTCCCTGATGCAGTGCTTAAGAATCCACCTGCCAATGCAGGAGACACAGGTT